GAGGGGGGCGTCCCTGTTCCCTTCCCCCCCCTCTACACGGCCGCCGTCCTGCTCCCCAAGCCCTGCCCGGCTCCCCAGCCCCGTAGCAAGGAGCTCCCTTCCCCACCTGGATTCCCGGGGAGTGGGTGACAAGAGCAGCCCGCGTCGCTCTGAGGCGTTGGTGGGAGCGGGCTGCTGGGGAAGAACCAGTCCAGCTTTGGCCGGGGCAGAGGGCTGAGCTCGAGCTGCGGTTTCCTCGCCCCCGCTGCCCTGCTCGGCAGGCATTTTCGCTGCTGGCTCCCAAAAGCGGAGGGTGCTGCCCTGAGCCGCTCGCACGCTCCTGGAAGAGCTGACACACACATGGATCTCCCTGGGAAGGAGTGCTGGGACCTTTGTTACAAAACCAGTTTTTCAGAGATTTCTGGCTTGGGTGCAACCGCAACAAATGGTCCCTGGGGTGGAGACGTGGCCCGGACCCACAGCGAACGCTCCCCGTAGCTGGGGGGCGAGGGGGCAGCTCTCACGTTGGGGACCTGGGCGTGATCGTGTCGTTCTGTTAGCTAACACGGAGGGTGTTTGGTAGAGCAGAAGAGGAGGCCAGCTGGACATGGACATGGTCCTTGAACCGGGAGGCTACGGGCTGCGTTTGAGCGCCCTGTGTTTAGACGACCCCCAGCAATTCCTCCGGCCGTGCTGAACCAGTAACAGCGTCAGGCAGCTGCTGGGACAGCGTGTGTGTCACCCGGTGTGACAGTCCTGGGCCCTGCCCAGGGCCTCGGGACAGCGCAGAATTGTTCGGCATCGCCAGTGGTGGCTGAGCGGCTGCCCCCTGCCCGTGGCAGACCCCAGGTTTGGCTTGTCCTCATCACCAGGCCGGTGGAAACCTTCTCCACAAAGCTGTGCGGAGGGGACGGGGCAGAGGGGGACTCAGGCAGGGCTCCGGCAGCTCACAAGGACCGTTTGGGTGCTTGCAGGGCGCTGAGCATGTTGCTGGGCAGGACCGGAGGGCTGGGAGGGTGCTGCCTGTGCTCCCCACGGAG